CAGCCAGCTGCTGTTACGTGAATGGTTGTCAGATCGAGAGAGATTTAGATGGGCACTCGCATGTGTGTATATGCTGATGATTAATAAGGAACTAATTATATACAACAACCAGTTATATACACTATCAGTGGGGCACTAATTAACTCTTGCTGATGGCTTTTCATGGAATGAGTAAGAATTTAATTATCTGAGTGTTGTTCACCCATCAGAAGCCTCCGTGAGAAAAGATCAAGGTGTATAAAAAGAGACTGGCTTACATTACCTGTTTGTATACTGTAAACCTGAACAGGCTAAAAGTCATCTTTTAGTCGTCTTTGCCAAGCATCTGAAGATAACAAAAGGTATGCCTACTTTTCAACTGGGATTATATAAAAGTGCCCAAATGTCTTACAGTTTATAGAAATGATTCTTGATGGATTTATTGCAGAGATGCTTTTGTAATCATCTTTACTTATTTCTACATTGAGAAATGTGCTTCAGTTTTATAATTCCAAGAAGATCTGAGAAGTGATATGGTAGAGACATTTTCTTTTTATCTGTGCTGGAGTAGAAGATAAGTTGAACCTTTCAGTCTGTGTATAATAGTTTTTCCTCACTTGTAGTCATGGGCATCTGTTATTCTACTCTGCACTTAGATGCTAGCATCTTACATGCAGTCACAAGAGTTATACATCAGGCATAAACTTCTCTCCCTCCACCTCACATCTCTAGGTACTCCTTGAAATTGACTTCACCCTCTCTTAATCTCAGAGTAGTCAAAAAAAAAAAAAAAAAAAAAAAAAAAAGACTTTTAAAGAAATTTAGCGTAACCATGGAGTTAAGAGTATGTATGTCATCTATGCTTGTGCTAGTGTTTCCTCACTTTGCTGTAAAGGAGAGATATAAGAAAAAAGGAGGAACTCTTTAGCATGATCTGTTGTGATGAGACAAGGGGAAATGGTTTGAAACTAAAAAGGGAGAGATTTAGGTTTGATATAAGGAAGTTTTTTTTATGGTAAGGGTGGTGAGGCACTGCAGCATGTTGGCTAGGGAGGTGGTGGATGCCCTGTCCCTGAAGACATTCAAGGTCAGGCTGGATGGGGCTCTGAGCAACCTGGTCAAGTTGTAGATGTCCCTGTTCATTGTGGGGAAGTTGGACTAGATGACTTTTAAGGGTCCTTTCCAACTCAAACAATTCTGTGATTCTACTTAACAAAACAAAAAAAAAATTGGATGAGATCAGCTCTGTTCTCTGGAGTGTGCTCTGTACTTTCTGAATGCTCTGAAGAGAGTTGTGGCTGTTGCTGTGACTTGCCATTTTACAGACATTGCCTCATCTGGGCAGAGCATTTGCAAAGATACTGTGATGTGTCATGAATGATGAAGCCATCTGTAACTGTGAAGCCATCTGTAACTGTCCAAGTGAAGCAGCAGCAGACACATTTCAGAGTAGTCTGTAAGCCTTGTCTTTGTGTGTGTGTGCTAATGATGTGCATGCAGCTTATCTTCATGCAATGAAGGGTCTGCCTCTTCCAGAGTTTGTTTCCCTGAAGTAGAGCTAAGTTCTCATGAACACTCAGCACAAAGAAGCTCCCCTTGCAACTCTGCTGCGCAGATAATTCAGAAAGCTCAGCACATGATGCACCAAGATCCCAGAAATGCAGCAAAATATGTTGTCACCAGGACAGCCTACACTCTCTTCTCACCCCCTTCCTACTACACCTACCATCTACTACTGTAGATGTCTACAGTACTTTCCTCCTTCTCCCACTTCTTCCCAGATGAGTGTCTGCCTTTTTCCCGGACAAAATGCTTTACTGAAGCAGCAGCCTCCAGCTTGGCTTTGGTGTATTTTTCTCCAGTCGAGGCACTCATCTTTTCCAACCTTTGCTATAGTCCCATTGAGGCAATGTGAAACATGCAGCCACCGGATGCTGAGTTGTTTTGAATGTGAGAATGAACCTGAAGCTTTTGTGATTGCAAACTTGTGACAGGTGCTGCAGCTGTGGCCATGCATGTGGTCTGTCGTGCTTTAGCACATCTGTTCTCATGCTCATCTGCTTTTCTGAAATGCACTTGTGAAGCATGTTGTGTCAGTGTTTGCACCATTTTCTTAAACCTTCCTTGGGTCATTTTACTGGAGGCAACTGCTAGATCGGTACAATAGGAGAAATTAAAATATATATAATCCTACTCTCGTAAAGCCTCAGCAGTTTTTCTGGCAGTAGCAAGGGAGAACATTTCACATGACTGTTCTCAGATGGGTAAAGCCTGTGGCACATGTTATGGTAGCCTTCTAGTGCTATGGCAAAGCGAGTAAAAGACGCACAGCAGAGCTATATATACAGAAAGTGCTCTTATGTAAGCACAGGCATTTAGATCAGATGAGGTATGCATCAGTAAAGTATTAACGACAATAAATGCTGAGAAGGAACACAGCTTCATTTGGCCATAAAAGAAAGTGTAGTAGTTTCTAAATGATTGTGCTTCAAAAACCTTTTGTAAAGAACAAAGATTTGTAGGCCAATAAAAAAAGATTGGCTGAAACTGCCCTAGTATGCTGCGGCCATGGTGGAGGCAGGCTCAGAGGAAACCAGATGAGTGCCTACCAACAGAAGTTGAATCAATACACCGAGATGGGCTGAAATAGTTTCCTATCTGGAGCAACAATCTCCAACGTGAAGTATGGGAAGAAAATACTTTTGGTACAATTCGTAAATAAAAATATTTTTTGAAATAGTGTTTATTTTCCCTTTTTTTCTCATCCCTTTTTAATTTTTATTTTTGCGCTTGTTTTATTATATATTATTACAGTAGAGAGTGTATATTATTTATAAATAAATATACACATAATAGAGTGCATGCTCAAATGTTTTTCTCTGATTGAAGGGCACAGTCAAAAAAGTTTGGATGAGTGAGTTGGAAGGGACCTTAAAGCCCATCCAGTTCCAACCCCTCCCCTGGGCAGGGTTGCCACCCACTAGATGAGGGGCCTGTTTGGATGAGTGGATGTCATTAAAGCAAACTGGTTCTGCTCAACAGATTTGGAAGAAGTGTATGTGGGAAGTCTTCTCTCTGTGAAAATTAGCCTTAACTCTTCTGTGCCATAGATAGAGAAATACAGAAGGCAAAAATAAAACCAGGGAGACAGTAAAAAGGTTTGAGGGGAATCTGGGGGATTTCTGCTGCACTATCTGTGTGAAATGCTTATGAAAAACTAAAGCCACCATTTTTATTATTACAGAGAGATTTGAGAGAGGCAGTGTCTTGTAGAAAATCAGCTAGTGTTACTGGGAAGAATGGACAGTCTTTGAACCTCTTTCATAGAATCACAGAATGGCCTGGGTTGAAAAGGACCACAATGATCATCCAGTTTCAACCCCCCTGCTATGTTGCAGGGTTGCCAACCAGCAGACCAGGCTGCCCAGAGCCACATCCAGCCTGGCCTTGAATGCCTCCAGGGATGGGGCATCCACAACCTCCTTGGGCAACCTGTTCCAGTGTGCCACCTCCTTCTGTGTGAAAAACTTCCTCATAATATCTAACCTAAACCTGCCCTGTCTCACTTTAAGACCATTCCCCCTTGTCCTATTGCTATCCATGCATATAAATAGCTGTTCCCCCTCCTGTTTATAAGATCCCTTCAAGTACTGGAAGGCCACAATGAGGTCTCCCCAGAGCCTTCTCTTTTCCAAGCTAAACAAGCCCAGTTCCCTCGACCTTTCTTCATAGGAGAAGTGCTCCAGCCCTCTGATCATCTTAGTAGTCCTCCCCTGGAGGACCACTAGCTTCTGTCCTCCTTGTGCTTTCCCTCTTTATACACCCGAGGTTGCAGGGATATGGGTTTTTGGCCACGGTTGCATCTTAGCAGCTGGTGACCCATCATCACCTGTTTGTTCTTCCCCTTTTCTGCTTACCAGGATAAAATCTTCTGCCATGTACCTCTCCTTGGTGCTCTTAAATGAATGAGCTCATCGATGACTCTATTGACACGCATGTTTGCTTGCCCCCAGCTTCCCAATGACCAGGTCACCCTGTACCAGTCCCCTTTCTGTTTAATTATTTACCCTTCCTTCAGGCTTTGTGCCACCTCTGAAGTTTTATCAGTGATGGTTGTCTACTTTCTTCCAGCCTATCGATACAAAATTTAAATATTTCAGACCCCCAAATTCTCCTTTATTCCAAGTTACGTGGTGCTGGTGGGCCAATTCCATGATAACAAAAGGTGGGCTGTTCTGGGAGGGGTTTCTTACCTAGAAATTATTTCCCCTGCAGTATCCAGAGAAATGAAAACTGTGGGTATTCCTGGGTGTTTTTGCACTTTTGTTGGTTGCTAAAATCGAAACTGGGTGTGGAGATCTGCCCACAGGTAACTGGTAGCCACCGGTGGGAGTCCTGGATTCGCTTGTGTGGGCATGGGCACCAGCAGTGGGGGGATTTTTGCATTTTTCACTTTTTTTTTTTTTTTTTTTTTTTTGGTGGGAGGGGAAGATTTGAAAGTCACTTAGCTGGGATACTGTGTCACCATTTTTACAGGCAATCGAGCAAAAAAGAACAAAGCGTGAGCCTTTATGGCCGCAAAGGGAGATCGTATAATGACAGCTGCAGAAGAGACAGGGCTGCCACTCGGTGCTCACAAAGCATTTCGTGTTTTTGTACAATCTCACGACAGGGAGGGGACGTTTGGCGACGCCAGGACCGCGATGTCACCGGTGGACGTCGTTGAAAAGGACCACAATGATCATCCAGTTCCAACCCCCTGCTATGTGCAGGGTCGCCAACCAGCAGACCAGGCTGCCCAGAGCCACATCCAGCCTGGCCTTGAATGCCCCCAGGGATGGGGCATCCACAGCCTCCTTGGGCAACCTGTTCCAGCGCGTCACCACCTCTGTGTGAAAAACTTCCTCATAATATCTAAACTAAACCAGAAAGACGATTTTCAGATGAGCCGCGGAGGCGCCGGGTGACAACAGCTCCCAGCAGCACCGCGACTGCGCCGGAAGGGGAGGTCCGGGGGGGGCGGGGCGGCGTGCGGCCTTATGAGCGCTGCGGCGACGCGGCTTCGGAAGGCGGTTGTTGGGACGGTAGCTCCCGTGGTGCCGTACGGCTGGGGGCGGGGCGCAGCCCTGGCCCGTGGGCAGCTGCGGGGCGGAAGCGGCGCGCGGGGCTGGGAATGGAGGTGATCCGCTGCGGTGAGTGCCGCGCTCCGCGGCGGTTGCGGCTCTTGGAGGGCGGACGGGCGGCCTCGGAGGGAGAGGCGGTTCGCCTTGCGGGCTCGCGGTCTGCTGGCCTGCCCGGCCCTCGGCCCGGCGGAGGGGCGAGGCGGGCGGGGCGTTGGCGGCTCCTCGGATGGCGGCGCGGTACGGGGCGCGGGCCCGTCCTGCCGGTTGTGCGCCGCGTGGGCTGCGGGCGGTGGTGTGGTCCCGAGGGCTCTGGCTTCAAGTTTCTCCCCTTCGTTCTGCATCGTTTTCGCTGTACGCTGACCGACGCCAGCGGGTTGCTGCTATGGCGGTTGCGAACTCTTCGGTTTCTCGTCTCCTTCCAGGCTGCTGCTTGTGCGCCGATGGCATCGCGGGAGCGGTATGAATGGAGCGGTTAGGGCCAGCAGGCAGTTGGCGGTGCGTGCTTCTGGCTTGCTGCGGGACGCCGGCAGCACGGTGTCTCTGAAGTCACCTGGAACCCCTGGAACTGTGTGTGCTGGATCTGAGGAGCAGTAAGGTAAGAAGGATTGAGCAGCATTGCTTTCTAATCCTCTATTGCCCGGAGTATCAAAAGGCAGAGTGTGTTTGAAAGTTTCGCTGGCCACATCCCCACACTTAATTTTTCAGGTCTTCTGCCTGTTTTCCTTCATAGCAGCCCAATTGTGGGTGTGTTTTTTTTGAGAAAGTGCTGGAACTCGTTAGGTTATGCTTGCAGCCTTGCAATTTTTGTGATGCTGGATAGGAGTTTCCTATATGTGATGGCCTGCTGGCTCATGGCAGCAATTCCTGTAACTGGAGACAAATTTCTGTATTCCCTTCTGCTGTGGAACAGTGATTTCATAAAATGCTTATCCACATCCTAGTCCTGTGCTTGGTTGCTTACAAAATACTTGCTTTTGTGCTGTTCTGTGTTTTTTTCCATTTTCAGCTCTACTGACTTGTCCTTTTTTCCCCTTATGAGAAGTATGTATATCTTTGTAATCCTTCAAACATTGCTGCTGGTTTGGTCTTCTCCTTTCATGTTTTGAAACTTCTATGTGTCTCGCTTCTTGTTTTAAGAAAAAGTGTAACAACAGTGTCCTGTGAAGCACTTATGCTTGAGTGCCTGTATGCCACTGCCTTGTGTTATGTTCACTGCCTAGTTTAGTCTCAGCCATAACCTGTTTGAAGTAGTTTGTGCTACGAGAATGAAATATGCTGGTGGTGCCATATGAACTTAACTTTTTAAAAACAATTAAGGTTCTTGCAGACAGCCTATAAAGAGAAAAGTTACTTCTATTTAACATTAACATCTTTGTCTCTATAACTGTTGTTATCTTTAGTAATGTTTTTTGGTTGTCTTTTTTTCTGTAAGTAGTCTCATGTAAAAGTGTCTCCCACACTTTTCTTTGCACAGCTTTCTGGTAACTATTTTCACTGATTATGCTTGCTACTCCCATTGAGTCCTGCCTGAGGCTGGAAGCTTGATTCTGTCTTGAGTGGAGGACACCTCCTTTAGATGGGTGAGCCTTTCCTGCTAGTGAAGATACTCTGCAAATGAGCAAAGTGGTCAAGTTGCTGTCAGTGTCTGTGGCATGGAGAATTTCTAGTTCAGAGTTGTCCTGAAGTGCTGCTGAGTTATTCATCTCGCCTGTAATTGTATTTTCTTTAAGTACCTTAAGTGCTAGACGGAAGCTTTAAGGGCTGTTGTTAATAAGGGTGTGTGCTCTTGCTCTGGTGCTGTCTTGTCCATTCTGCAGATCCACATATGTTCTTCACAGAAGAAACCAACTGAAAGCCACCTGCTGATACTTTTAGGGACTAGTAGCCACTTCAGCTGTTTCTGTCTATCTCCAAAGCTGTGCATTACATTATACATGTCCAACCTTTTGTCTTGCCTGGGCTGCATTCAGTGAGGAATTGTCTTGGGCTGCATGTATGTAGGTATCTCTGAAACTAATCCTTCCTATTTATTTCCATGGGAACTACAGCTGATACGAAGAATACAATAATACTACTCAGTGGAGCAAATTCTCAGCTACAAAGCACTGTTCTTCCCCACCATTAGCTGTGCATTTTTGCCAGTGATGAACAAGAGCCAGCATGCGCATTTGTAGAAACTCATACCAACAGAGGTGATTCAGTGTCACCGTTACTGGCTGCTGAAATGCACCATCCACTGCCTCACTGTGCTCACGTGCATGTTTGGTCTCTGCAAATGTTCAGCAAGCATCAGTGAAGGTCAGTAGGTGCCATTTTTTTTCCTCGTGGAAGAATTCAATCTCTACTTCTGCTTTGTCTGCACTGCCATGTCAAGTACCATTTTGTCTGACTGCCCCTCTGCTGCCATGTCAAGCAGCATCAAAATGTGGCTAAGTACTGTCGGGAAGATTCAGCCTCTACTGCTGTACCACCACCATCTGCCTCTTTTGTAAGTCAGCATAATAAAATAGGAGGTATTACTTCCAAAGCAGCACTAGTAATACAGTATATTAGTTTACAGTATATAAGCCACAAAACTTACTTTATTTTTTTAATTAAAACATCAAAAAATGAGCAATAAAAGCACAAAACTAGTGTGATATTTGACCTTGGTTTTGTAAAACTAAAACAAATATAGTTCAGTGGCAGTGGCTGGAATTCTTAGCTCTCAAGGTTCTTGTCAGAGATTTTTTTAATGGAATTTTACTCTTTTTGTGCTTCATCATAGTTGTTCACTAATGTACATACTAGCAAAAAGTGATGAAATGAATAAGGTGTGACTGTGAAGTGAGGGACATTTTTCCTCTGGTAATGGAGGGCTTATATAAGTCCAGTAGAGAGAGATGATCAGATTTTTTGAGTTGAATACTTGAGTGCATCTGTACATTCAATTTGAAAATTTGCAGGTAGATGCATTTGTCACCTGAAAATTTCCATAAATGTATAAAGGAACTGATGTTTTTTGAAGTCTTGAAACCTATTCTCAAATTTCTTTATCTAAATGGAAAGCATGACTGCATATTTTCTCTGTTCACAGAACTATTATGTTCAGTCAGTGTACCAAAGTGCATGACTTTGGATGATACATGTATACATAATCTCTCACTCTCAACTCCATTAGCAGATTTGAACCAGGTAGAGGAGCAGGGGAAAGAAATGACAAGGGCATAGTTAGCAACAGCTATTAATGCCTTTGAAACTCCCTGCTTATTTTGCACCTTGTTTCATAGTTTAGAAACGTGTATTGGCACATCTGACTTGAGCACTCTTTTTTTTTCCTTGTGAATGTTGTGTGTTTAGGCATTTGTTGTTTCCAATTCATTCAACTTCAAAGGAGCTAGCCTTAAAAAAAAAAAAAATAAAATAAATAAAAAATTAAGATCTGCAGGGGAAGGAAGGTAAAATGAATAGTACAGAAGAACTGATTAGAATGTCTGGTAGCTCATAACACCAGAACAGCTCTAGCTGTAGAAGTGGCTTCAGTTGGTATTTCATTTGGCAAGAGCATGAAGCCCTATTTATTGTAATTCATAAATTTGAGTACTGCAAACACATGACAAACATTTCAAAGTCATCTGACATATTGCAGTATCTACAAGATGTTGTGTATTAGCAATCAGTTGCTCGTTACAAACACAGTATTGTCCAAATCTAAGTGCATGCCATATCAGTGTTCTCCTGTGCTGCCTTTACCTCTGAGTTTGTGATCTGATGTGGGCCTGTGAAGGAAGGCTTAATTGCCTCTTATAGGGAGCCAGAACAAGGTCCCCCTGGTGGTACATGAAGGTATTCCAGTTCTGGAAGCTATTGTCATCAAACGCCCATGAAACAGGGCATTCCCTTGGCAATATTTTTGTTGTTCAGAAATGCCTCTGCATATGCTGTGGCACTATCTCAGAATTTATTGTAATTCCATACTTGTCCTTCCTTGCTTCCTTTTTGTTCAGTCTCTAGTGCCTAGATACGCTTCACAGTTTCCTAAAAGGCATTCCAGTATTCTGCTATGGCTGCCCTTTGTGAACAGTCTGGAAAAGCCTTTCTGGCATATGTGTGGTTCTTACCTTTGCTGTAAACACAAGATGTGAAAGCCATATGGAGTAGCAGGCTAAAAATAGCTTCTACCCTTGCTAATCTCTTTAAGGGAAGGTAAATCTTCTGGCTGAGTGATGTAGTTGGATTCTCTGCTTTCTGTGGTTGCTTACAGTCAAGAACAGAAGTGCAAGTGAGCTGTGCCATCTGCTTTGGGGACAGAATTGCTATTGCTCTCTCGGGTGATGTATAGAGGCTGGGCTAAGAGCGATACGTGTACCTTGAATTCACATTTCCAGTGAGCATGGAGTTACGCGGACTTAGCATTTCTGTACTTCTGGCATCTTGGAAAAGAAAAAGATGCATATCCTAAAGAAACATTGCATTATAGGAATGATGTGTTGAGGCTGACACTGTTAAGATAACTTTGTGTTTAACATCAGAGGAGTTACTCACTTAGATGTTCTCTTTTATTTCAGCAGCAATGATGGATAACCGTTTTGCTACAGCACTGGTAATTGCGTGTGTTCTCAGCCTCATCTCCACCATATATATGGCAGCTTCCTTGGGCACTGATTTTTGGTATGAGTACCACACTCTGTCCCCCGCTGAGAACATTACTGAAGCTGGCAGGAGCATCTGGGAGGAATTTGTCAGTGAAGAGGCAGATGAGAAGACCTACACAGATGCACTCTTCCGGTGCAATGGCACAGTTGGGTTGTGGAGGAGGTGCATCACTGTACCCAAAAACTCTCACTGGTACAGCCCACCAGGTATCTCTGGACTAATTAACACTTCATAGCTTTGCCTAAAGTGGTACTTTCTTCACCTGGGAAGCTTATTTCTAACGTGTTTGCTTTTTAGTAACGTAAACGTCTAAAGAAGTGATGTGAGAAATGATCTGTGCCTGTCAATGCTACAGAATCTGAATTTGGTGTATTGTATTTGATCTAAATTTAGTCTGGTGTAACTTGAGTTGTTGTGTGTGTTTTTTTGTATTTGCTGCATGACAGGTGATATAGTATTATGGCTCTGCCAGTTATCTTCACCCTAGGTGAGATCAAAGGGGGGGGGTGACCAAAACAACTACTTTGTCAAGGCAACACTTGCTCCTTTAGAGATGGTTATTTGTTTTCCTCATGTCACAAATGCCCCCACTGTGACATCAGCAGAATTTGGAGCTGTTGGATATAGAATGACTTCAATTTTGATAGATACTGGTTGATTTTGACAAATGTTGGTTGCGATAAAGAAGTTGGTGGAAATTCTGCATATCTAATGCTATGCCTTGTTGTACTAACTACATTATCCTTACTGTTGAGATTTCCCAAAACAGTTTTGTAGGATTTTTTTAAGTCTAAAATTTTACATGGAGGAGCTTTCCAATTTAAATGCTTAGGAGAATTGGAGAAGGGGAGTTGGGGAAAAAAACTAATGACAATTGTCTGTGGTGGTGTTTTGTTTTCTTTTGTTCCAGAAACTGATATGACAACAAACTGCATCAGTTTTTCCCTCTCTGACCAGTTTATGGAGAAGTACATAGAGCCTGGAAATCACAACAGTGGCACAGATTTGAATAGGACTTGTAAGTGTCTTTCACATCTTGCAGGTAAAAACAGTGGGATTTAAAAAAAAAAAAAGATTTCCCAAATGCAGTTGCTGATGAGACAACATCTGCATCTTGCTCTGCAGTTTGTTGGTGCTTTTTTCTTTTTCCAGTAATGTAAGTAGTACTTCAGAGCTTTAAAGGGAAGCTTAAGTGTTCTATGGGAATTTGGAAGTTTTAAAGTTCTTTCTACTTCAGAGCCTTTTGTCCTTTTTAAATACTCCAATGAAGGAGTCTGGGTAGAAAGGAGCACAGCATGGTGGAGAAGGTCAGTTCAATAAACCTGGCTTGTATGTTTCTTTAATGTGCAGATCTCTGGCGATTGCAGTTTCTCCTGCCATTTGTCAGCCTTGGTCTCATGTGCTTTGGAGCTCTGATCGGGCTCTGTGCATGCGCCTGTCGCAGCCTATACCCTGCCATTGCCACTGGCGTCCTCCACTTTCTTGCAGGTAGGTCTCTTGCCATCCATCACTTATTCTCCCTCCTCTATAAGCTCTTAGTGATAGCCAGAGCGCTTCAGCAGTGAACTAACTGTACTTTCTTCTGTTTTCTCCAGGACTTTGTACGCTGGGCCTGGTTGGCTGCTATGTAGCTGGGATTGAGCTGCTTCATAAGAAGCTGCCCCTACCTGGTGATGTGAGGGGTGAATTTGGCTGGTCCTTCTGCCTAGCCTGTGTCTCAGCACCTTTGCAGTTTATGGCAGCTGCTCTTTTCATCTGGGCGGCTCGTACCAATAGAAAGGAATTCACTCTCTTGAAAGCATACCGTGTAGCATAGTAAGTGCTGCTACCCAAGTGTTAGGTTTCCATGTAACAGACTCCCCTCAACCCTTATTACTTCTATTGTTCTTTTAGACAGAAATTTGACCTCATACTGCTTTCTTCTTGCCAGTTGATACAGTATAGCCTGCAGGCCCTGAAGACAAAGACCTTTGGGCTAAATGACTAAACTTTACCAGAAGTCTGCAGAACCATTAAAAATGGTTTTTGATATATATATTTAAGTTTTCTTTAGTTGATTTTCTTTAGTTGATTTTCTTTGAATATCCCCTTAGTTAAATGTGTATTTATTCTTATTTTATTACAGACTGACAGAGGAAGTAGGGAAAGCATTGTGATGTGGAGGTGAGATAGGAAAAGATGCAGGTAGGCAAGAATGGGAACCGCAGAGTTCAAATTACAAATAATCACAATTTGGGCACTCTCCATAGGCCATAGAGGAGATGAGATGTGGAAAAAGAGGAACGTGTCTAATGGAAATACTGTATTTAAATCAGTGCTGTAGCTTAGCTTTGGGTCTCTTATTCTTGCTAGATTGTTAATTTCTATGGCTTCCACCAAAACTGATGTAGACAGAGCAGCTGGCCCTGGGAGTGATTGCACAGCACACTTTGCTGAACAGAGAATCTGTGCTGCTTTTGCTGTGGAAAAGAAGTTTCCCTATGTGGAGCTTTGTACTACACTAGGTATGCTGCTTCCAGGTACCTGCACTACCTGTGGTTGCGCGCTCTAATCTTGTACTTGTGAAATAAGGCTTTCCTAACTCCTGTTGTATTGAAGGGCAAATCTTTACAACCTTTTTCACTTTGAATTTGATTTAGTGTATGTGTGTATATGTATGTAATATAAACTTTTGTAAAATGTTCTTATTTTACTTACGTTGCACATAACAGGGTTTGTTTTCTTTTAAAAAAAGGTGCTGCTCAATTCCCACCTCGTTCCAGATCTATTGGTTAAGTGAAATAAAACAGTCCTCAGAAACTTCTGATGTTGTGTGGATTTGTTGGGATAGGGAAGGAGCGTACTAGAATGACTGGGGGGGTGGGGAGTGGGAGGGAAACTATGCATCTCTCTGTACTCATGGAAGTATGACCAACACCAAATATATTTTGTGGGATTTCTTATTAAATTTGTGAACTATTTCATCCAGCGTGTGGATGGTGTAATTTCTCTTAGACTGTCAGCTGAAGTGCAGGACTTCCATAACTACTCCCTGGAAGAAGTTGCCATGTGGCTGCTGTCATTTTTCTTAGTCTAACAGCTGTAGTACAGGGTGTTGCTGCCGTGTTGCTGCCGTGTTGCTGCCGTGTTGCTGCCGTGTTGCTGCCGTGTTGCTGCCGTGTTGCTGCCGTGTTGCTCAGAAGAGCGGCATCACCATTACTTTTGTAGGTAGGATGCCTCTATTACCTCCTTTATTTCTATGATTTTGTTAGGTCACTGGAACTGCAGTTCCTCGCGTTGCTTTTCATAGTTTGTCGTCTTCGCTGCTGGACTGCTATTCCTGCCCTCTGGAGGTTATTTCCATGTTACTTCTGTGATTTCTTCTGTGTATTTTGTTTTCCTATGTTTTCTGATTTGCTGGACTTGCATTTATTCTCTCTGGATGCTTCTAGCTTTATTTCTATCTGTATCCTGCTGTCTATTAAAATAGCATAGGCAGAAGGGCAAGGGAGGTGCTCCTGCTTTTCTTATCTGTGCTGGTGAGGTCTCAGCTGGTATACAGCATCCAGTCGTGGTTTGCTCAGTACAGGTGAGCTACAGATCTGTTGGACCATGTCTGGAGTGGGCTGCAGACATGATCTTAGAATGGAAGACTGTTGCTGTGAGGATAGGCTGGGTGAGCAGTTGCTCTTCAGTGTGGAGAGGGAAATAAAAGAAAGGCCACTAACAGGTCCCTTAGAGCCTTTCTGTATTTTCAGTGAAGCCACAGGAAAGAAGGGGACAGACTCATTAGCAGGATCTGCTGTGATAGAACGAGGGGAAATGGCTTTGAGCTCCAAGGGGGTACCTTTTAGGTGAGCTATAAGGAAAAAGTCTGAAATAATGAGGATGGCAAGGACTTGAACGGTTTTCCCACAGATGTGGGGAATGCCCCATCCCTGGAGACTTTCAAGGTGACGCTGGAAGGTTATTTCTGTTATTTCCATTATTACCATTATTTTCTTTCTTTTTGTCAGTTGATATGTCATACTGTCATTACTTCATACAGGAGCTGACGTTGGATATGCACGTTATGCCCATTACATGTATTTGTTCTCTTAGTAAGTCAGCTGGTAAGTGAGGCTGAGGCTGGATTTTATATACTTTTATATTAATATTTAATAATTAAAGTTTTCCGTTATTTCCGTTATTTCCGTTATTTCCGTTATTTCCGTTATTTCCGTTATTTCCGTTATTTCCGTTATTTCCGTGCATGCTGCATTTCTGATATCCTGCAGCCTGTGGCTAAATGTTGTTTCAGCCTTAAGTCTTTTGAGGGAATACGACCCCTTTGCTCTGACAGTTTCTCTAGGTTAGGCAGTGTTCCCCAAACCCTGACAGTTTCTGGAGGGCGTGTCTCTTCTTTGAGCTAGCCTGTCTTACAACATTTCTCCCTTCTGCACTTCTCAGGTTTCTCTTTTTGGTGATATCACCATGAAGGTAAGACCCCGGAGCACTGTAGCTGTGAAGCCTGAGGTGCTGCATATCTGGCACTTACAGATCAGTAGACACTGTAAGAATTTCTCTTGTGTCTCAGTTGTAACCTGGAAACAATTCTGTCTTCATCTAAATCTGACAAGGTTGAATTGTCAATACATCCTGAGCAGGCCTTTCATTCAAGAAACATATTAGACAATAATGTTTATTATGTTGCTGTATTAACTCTACTGCCTAACTTCCCTGCATGAACTTTATGGCAGTCCTAGAAGTTTTTCTTCTCCCTCTTAATAGGCAATATGGAGCTTATTTCACTGGCTGGCTTAATCTTCTAACTGTCTGTATGGGAACTGCTGAGTCATGGCCTGAACCCCTGATTGATCACTTGAGGCAAGCAATGAGTCAGCCACAGGAGCTCAGGTGAAGGCAATTCACCTGTGCTGCTGGTAGGGGTGGAGTCTGGCTCCACCTCTCCTAGATCATTTAAGAGCTGGCAACCAGTGGGGAATTATCTCTTTTGGAGATCCACTCTGTTGGATTTTCATAAGTGAGCCCAGGATACGGGTGAGCATCCTGTCTATTCTCTTTTTGTTATTATAACCTGCTTTGCCTAACTCTCTTGTTTATTTCATAATTATAACATCTCAATATTCTTTGATTATACACTGCCTCTACACAAACCTGTTGCTCTCTGTTTCTGAGTCTCTTCTGTCATGCTCCTATACACCAGTATTTTGGAGGGACAGAATCACTAATATACATTGCATTGAAGAAACCTCAGCGTTGCAGAGGCTTCACCTTGCCATTGGTGCTGAAACCCACAGAAGTGGCTTGGTATTTCATCTGAAGAGCAGTCTGTATGGGATCAAGGACAGCCTTGCTTCTACAAGAACATACATCTCAAAAATCATCAGGTAAATATCATTAAGTATTGTGTAGTTCTTGTAATTTTTTCTTCCCTTTATATGAAGACCATCTCTAATAGTAATTTTCAATAACGGGAAGCTCAAGAGCATGTAATAGTTTCATCCCTGCACCCAAGAAGAAATGGAGGGCCAGCTGCTTTGATGGTGCAAACCAATCGATTTCTATTTTCTTCCTACAGAGCTATTTCACCTGAATAGCTCTCAGATTGTGTAGACTAATTAACCCAAGTAAGTCAAATGAGACTCATAGTGAATTTATTCTATATGCAGTTTTGGAGAACTGGTGACCTGTCTGTATAGCTCAGTTTGTTGAGATGATAACCAATACCCTCATGTGCTGCCTTCTGTTACTAGCAAGGTTCAAGCAGAGTAACATACAAAATGCACATGAAGAAAGTGAAACAAGGGAATTCATTTATTTTCCCTAAGCAATTATAAAAATGTCCTAATGATCCCAATGTGCTTACTATAGCATGGTGAGACCATGCTTAGCACTTAATTTGATACTCTTTGTTCGTATGTTAATTAAGTTTGGCAGCAGCAATCAATAATTGTACAGATAACAAATTCAACCAATCTGCAATGTGAAGTAATCACAAGGAAACAATACTTTAATTCTTCTGAAAACATGGCAAATACACTTGGCTGTCAGGAGTCTGTATTTCTTTATTTTGTGTTTATTGCTGATCTGGGGAAAAACACTAATATTTCCAGAGGAGGGGAATATGAGAAAGTGAAGAATAGAATGAAACTTTGATCTGAATGTTATAATGCCTTTTTGATCAGGTTTGTAATTCAGGAAGTCTTTGAAATAAAAATATTAAATGTACATTTCAAACGTAAATGACTCAAATATGTCCAAGCCGTAGAGTAAATGGTTTGAGCACTCAAACTGGCTTTGCAGATTGCTTACAGTGACGGACAGTCCATCAGAGTTAAGCAGCAGGTTACTGTCTCTGAGTTCATTTTTCTGCCAGAGGCTCAGTGGAGCTCCCCTTTGCGTGTGCACAGCTATTTTAACAAGTGAGTGTTGGCTAGTATTTATCCTGGTCCCTGATTTCCTTGTTTAGAAAGTCAACTTTTGTGTTGCAGACTGGAGGTAGAGTGCAAACCAAACAACAGACGACGTAGACAAGGAGCCTCTAAGATACCAGGACAAGATATGACATGCAGTCTGTATTTTTCTCAGTTATTTAGGCACTGTGCAGTTTCTAGTTCATCTCCTGGCTTAGGAACCCTGAGAATCCAGTAAGTAATCTGCCACACCACTCCTTTGGTCCCCACTGAAGATGGTGACCTCTCAGGTGTCTGCCACTGGAACTCACTCTAATGGCTGCCTTGTTCAGTCTGCCTCCACATGATTCTTTAGAGCTTCTACCCTATTTGCGCTTCCTGTTTTGATGATCTGCATCCGTGAAGCCCTAGGAGTTAGGGACACCAAACCTTTAACATCCTCCTTCCTTATTTAACTGAGAGGTTAAATATTAGCCAGCAGTAGCTCAACTAGGATTTCAAATTACTGCTTCAGTCTAATTACCTGAGGGAATTTCCAAGGAAGGAAGAATAAGCTGCACGGCTACTCTTGGGCATTTTGAGACTGCATGTGACCATGTGGTTTGGTGCTGTCCTCCCATGGCTTTTGTCCCTTTCCTGGTTCAAGCATATGGCCCACGGCAGAGGTAGTGGTGGGCCTTCAGGTGAGATTTCAGGCTCACAGTCACTGCAGGATTGTACTCGCCTGTCTGAGCTCTGAGTGAAGAAGAGTTGCGTGACTGTTGAAGTCCGTGCCCTGCGTTTCTGTTGCTGTGCCTATTTTGCCTACCTCTGTTGTCTCAGCCCTGTGTCACAACAGGCACCCAGTATACAACCATGTCCTGAAAACTTGCCCAGAAAAGATTGCAGCTGCAGCCAGACTGTGCTCAGAAAAAGGAAGCCCAAATAAGCCACTTGCCACTGACCTTTGATTCAAATGCCAATGTTTAGCAAGCAAACATTTAGAAGCACACCATTAAGCAGGGAGGCACAGCTTTACCACAGTGAATGTCATCAAGAGGTGCCTCAGGGACAGGCTGACAGCTTTCTTTTTCTTTCCCTCTCCCAGTGGAGCAGCCTGTTGCAGGCAGCCTGACTGCAGAGGCAGTGGCTGCAGCAACTGGCGTGAACTCAGTATATGCCAGCTCAGCCCTTAGGACCTGATCCGAACCACTGTCTGTGGTTGGGACCCACGTACTGGGGAGTGTTCAGGAAATTGGTTGGTATTGGTCAGGTGCAGTAATAGGTGCAGCAATAGTGGGTATTTTTGCCTCAGGAGTAGCTCAGAATTAGCTGTGTTGGTCAGTTTATAATTAGATATTTGTATCTAACAGGATTATTTTTCTGTTAGATGTTTATAGTTTTCTTTTTTAAATATGAAAAATA